ACACACACACACACATATAAGAATGATCATATATATATATCATATATGCCTGGGATTTTTTAATATTTATTTATTTGCTTATTATGTGTACAGTATTCTTTCTTCAGTCCAGAAGAGGGCACCAGGCCTCATTACAGATGGTTGTGAGCCACCATGTGGTTGCTGGGAATTGAACTCAGGACCTTTGGAAGAGCAGGCAATGCTCTTAACCTCTGAGCCATCTCTCCAGCCCCCATATGCCTGGGATTTCATCTGGTTCACCCCCCTGGAGTCATTGGTGTAGAACTGGTACTTTTTATTCTAAGGTAGGCTCCACCCGCTTTGTTTTTTCTGGTCCTTCTGTGACTGCAGTGAGACTTCTACTAGGGTTATTTCACTGATTGAATTTTTTAAAATTAGCTATGTTCTTTAAAAAATAACAACATTGTACGGCGTGTGTATGTGCAGCATGTGTGAACGCAGGCCTCTGTGTGCTATAGTACACATGTGGAGGTCAGAAGACAACTTTCGGGAGGTGGGTCTCACCTTCCATTGTGAGATCCAGGGGTCAAACTCAGGTCATCAGGCTTGCAGGGCCAGTGTTTTTAACCAGCTGAACTGTCTCATGGGTTCCATCATTAACTGTATTCCTTGTTTTGTTTTGTTTTGTTTTGTTAGTTTTTCGAGACAGGGTTTCTCTGGGTACCCTGACTGTTCTGGAACTTGCTTTGTTACCAGGCTGGCTTCAAACTCAGAAATCTGCCTACCTCTGCCTCCCAAGTGCTGGGTTTAAAGACCTGTACCACCACCACCCAGTTAAGGACTAGAAAAATCTTAAGGTGGCATTTCTCCAACTGTGATCTGAGCAGTTGTTAAATTGTGGATTGGTGTGGGAGGTCCTTCTGTCTATGTGTTGCTTTTCTTGGTTAATGAATAAAGAAACTGCCTTGGCCTGTTGATAGGGCAGAACTTAGGTAGGCAGGGAAGACAGAACTGAATGCTGGGAGGAATAAAGGCGGAGTCGGAGAGAGATGCCATGGAGCTGCCAGAGTCAGACATGCTGAATTTTTGCCAGTAAGCCACTGCCACGTGGTGATATATATACAGATTAATAGAAATGGATTAAATTAATATAAGAGCCAAGAAGAAGCTAGAGCTAATGGGTTGAGCAGTAATTTAATTAACACAGTTTCTGTGTGGTTATTTTGGTTCTGGGCAGCTGGGAGGAACAAAAGCTCCCTCTTTCTACAGTGGATGCCTGGCTCCACACCAGGAGAAACTCGCAGATTCCTTCAGGAAATGGCACTTTGATGCATGTTCTGCTGAACACCTGATATTTGAAAGCCTCTGTGGGAATAAGCTGATATTCTAGAGCAAGAAGGATGGACGGACAAACTGATATTACCCACCTGCCTTGATTCTTGGACACTTCTTTGCTTTCTTTTTTTCACAGGGTGTTGGTGCTGAAACTAACAACTGTCCTCAAAGCAGAGACTATAAAACCACGTGCATAGTGGGTTCAAGTCACAGGGGTGGGGACATTGCAGAGATCAGGCATCACAAGAGCAGTAAGGCTGTCCCCACTGCTGGGAAGAGCTAGCACTGGATACCACAGCAGCCAGGGTGCTCAGGACAGCTGGGATCACATTTCAGGCTTACTGCAACCTCTGAGGCAGATGACTGTTTCCAGTTGCAGTCAGGATTAGGAAATGTTAGGAGACATTTAAAATCATCCACAGGTAACCAACTGTTAAGTCAGGACTCAAACCCAGGTCTGAATGATGCTGAGGGCAGCCAGGCCCTGTCCTATTTCCCTCCCTGGGAAGTCCCCCACACAGAGGGGGATGGTGCGGGCTGGTTCTTGTGATCAAGGATGTGGTGGGTCCCGGGGTCACTGCACTAAATGGGCTGCAGGAAACTGAACAGGTTACACTCAGCAAGCAGATCCCTAGGGATACGGTGGTCATCCTCCACAGCTCTGTGCCTGTCTGCTGGAGAGCGCCTGCGCATGGGCAATGCTGTTGGTTGTGACTGAACTGAGAAAGGGAGGCTGTGTTCAGAGTCCCACAGGCCCAAGCCCCTTAAAATGGCCTCTGTTCTCGCGGGTCTTTATAAACCACACATCAAGATCATCTGGAGAGATTTTAAGGAGAGGTGTTCAGGTGTCTCTCTCGATTAGGAACCAGAGTTCATTAGGATGCAATCTGGGTGTCTGTAAGACAGTTCCCCTGGCAATTGTGTGGGGAGCCAGGTTTGGGAACTTCTGGATGCATTCCAGAAATGGGAGGAGTTTTCGTTATTGACAAGGTCAGGTGGGGGATCCTAAGGAAGACCCACAGGTAGAAAACTCACTGGCTTTCTTCCTGAATCTCCCCCCCCCCCTTCTCCTACCTCCCTGGCATCTCATTTTATGCCTAATTCCGCAGTCACGAAGTTTTCCTTGCCCTTCGCTGGCAGGACGGTGGAAATAAAAACAAACAAACAAACAAACAAAACACCGCGCGTCGCCGTACTGTGTTGTAATATGTCCAGGTGACCGGTGTCCTGCAGGGGGCAGCACGACCCTACGTCCTTCTAGGGGGTCTTCTGGGTAGATGATTTCCCCCATCCCACCCCACCCCGTGGGTGCACCTGCTGTGCCAGATTAGAAACTAAAACCACCACGTTCTCAAACTAGAAAACGTCAGACGAAACGAAGAGGAAACTCTTGACAAAACCAATGTCTGTAACCTTCCCCGGGTAGGGTAAAAGCCTGGGCTTCCTCCACCTTCTGGGCGACTTTAAAAACAATTCCTGAAAGCTGGAGAGTGGCTCAGCGGTTAACAGCATTTGCTGCTCTCGCAGAGGACTAGGTCCGATTCCTAGAATCCCATGGCAGCGCATAACGGTCCGAAACTCCAATCATACGGAGTCTGAACAGGCAAGCATGTGGTTCACATCTACACAGGTAGGCTAAATACATATAAAATAAATAACAAACAAGAAAAAACACATGGACTTGTGCACCTCCTGCCAAGCTAGTCTAGGAACAGTTAGTTTGTGCTGCGCATGAGTCAGGCGTTAGTTCGTGTCTGGTGGCATTTTGGCCTGATGACACACGCATGGGTTTGTGTTGGTGGAGCAGGGCTGTGTCACTGTTTTGCCTTAATTTCTGGCACAGTCACCCTGCCTCTGTCTGCCTCACTAGCTGCCTCCCCATCTCACTCAGACATTCAGAAGTTCTGACGTTTATGTGGACATAGCTCTAACAGTACCACATTGAGGGAAGTAACTAAACTAATACAGCAAGAAATAATATCACTAATGTATACGTAAGTCCACCTAGCTACCAGATTGCTTGCTCTTTTCTTTTTTAAGCACAATTTACCTTTACTGATATAGTGATTATACGTATTTATGGGGTACAGTGTGATGTTATGGTTAATTGTGCACTGATTCTATCAGAATAATTAGCAGAACATCCACTTTCAAGTATTTTTTTAAATTGTAAGTTACATGTTCATGTATGTTCATGTGAATATGTGCCACCAGTCACATGTGACAGGGGACTTCTTTCCATAGTCAGTTTGCTCCTCCCACCATAAAGGTACCAGGGATCAACTCAGGCCATCAGCTTTGGTGGCAAATGCCTTTACCTGCTAAGCCCTCGCTCTTACCTGTTATGAGACATATATAATCTTACGTTTTTCCATCCTAGTGAGCCATAGGACATCCAAACTTATTGCTATCTGTCACATTAAACCCATTGACCAATCTCTCCCTATCCCATATCCCTCCCTGCTCTTCCCAGCCTCTAGTCACGACTATTCTCAACTTTCAAGATAGGTTCAACTCTTCTTATAGTCTACATACAAGTGAAATCACAATGTTGGTCTTTTTGAGACTGCCATATTTTACTTAACATAAAGACCCTCAAGTCCATCCATGCTGTTAAAAATGACAGGATTTTCTTCCTTTTTTAGCTGAATGGTGTTTATGGCTGAAGAGCACACCATGGATTCCTTGGTCGGTGGTCCTCCAATATCCATCTCGGTTGACTCTGTATCTTGTGTACTGAGTTAGGGCAGATGTAAACACAGGAGGGCAGATGTTTCTGATATGCTGATTTCATCTACTTTAGATAGATACCCAGTCGTAGTATTGCCAGATCTCTTGCTTGGTACTCTTCCGTAATGTCACTACTAGCCTGCATTCTCACTAGTGAAGACACTAATTTCCAGTGTGTGTATGTGTGCATGTGCGTGGGAGTATGAATGTGTTACTGAACTACATCTGAGTCCCTTGTTTTTTTCAGGGTTTATTTTGACTTTTTTCTTATTTATTTTGTTTTCAATTGCATATTTTTGTAGGTGTGAATACGTGTGCCCATGAGTGTAGGCGTCCATGGAGACCAGAGGTATTGGATACCCGGAGCTGACGTGGATACTTAGAACCAATGTCAGGTCCTCTGCATAAGCTGTACATACTTGTAACTGCTGAGCCACCTTTCCAGCCCCAAGGAAAAGGTTTTTGATTTGTTTGTTTGCTATTATTGTTGTTCTCCTTTTCTGGGTTTTTGGAGATGAGGGTCTCGTCATATAACTGTGGCTAGCCTGGAACTCAGGCTGGCTTCAGATTCAGAGATCCGTCTGTCTCTGCCTCCCTAGTACTGGAATGAAAGGCACTCACCACCACGCCCCAAGGGAAAGTACTTCAGAAGAGTGAGAAACAAAGGGAACTCAGAGGAAAGGGGAAGTGAGACTCTAAAGCACAGACTCTCTTAAGCAAGAAAAGGATGTGGGTGAGGCGGGAAGATGGGGGAGGGTCAAGCCTAAGGTAGCACGGGGAAGATGGTGGGCCTGGCGTTTTCACAGAATGGAACTTCTAACAGTGCATCATGGCCAAAGAAATGGCTTGCCCACTGATTTAGGGAATAAATGGGCCAAAGGGCACCTGTGAAAGAAAACCATAACTTAGTATGACTTTCTTTTGTCCCTGTCTGTTTTGTGACAGGGTCTCCCTGTATAGACCAGCCTTTCCTCAAACCGTCCATCCCCCTGCCTCAGACTCCCAGGTGCTATGAGTATACACATATGCCACAATGCCAGCTTCATCTCTCACTTTTGTGGGCTTTCCAATTCTACATATATTCAAGAGAATGCAGAATGTTAGAGGAAAAGCTGCGGTTTCCCCATTTTATTCCTGTCTGTTACTCTGCAGAACAGTTGTTTCTTGGAAGTTCCCCTTTGTCTCTGGAAGCATTTTGTCCTGCTGGAGAATGAAAGAATTCATTGATTTCCGTGGTGTAACTGTGAGCTGGTGGGATCTGGACCAGTGATTTGGTCACGGTTGTAAAGAAGAATAGGTAAGTCTGGAAGGAGTGAAATCCTGGAGCAGAGCATGCTGGTTAATTGGGTTTCTGATTAACTATGGGTTAATAAGAAGACACTTTCTGTCTGAAATCTCTCTAAACTGCCTCAATCCATTTCCTTGCTTTAATAAGTAGCCTAATGAACATAATTAAATCTCCTCTTACCGATTCAGCATCCTGCAGTGTCTCGGGATCATTGCTCTGAACACAATATGTCATTCTATCCTGCACTGTAGCTGCAGAAGGTACCAGGGTTATGGGTGGCTCCTACACATTTCCTTACTTAAAAAAATACATACTCACATTTCTTATCTTCATTGTATGGAAATTTACCTTAGTTAAGCAAGTGCTTAACTGTTGTATATCATAGAATATATCCGAATATTTGGCCCAGACGGGGGTCTGGAGATGTGAAATGTAATAATGCTGTATAACAGCAGAGGAAGACTGATCTAGACGGGAGGAAGGAGGATGCAGTATCTGCTGACTGTGCATCCATAAGGTCTGTCCCCATGCTGGGACACAGCTGGACATGACTGTGACACTCCTACCATGCCTCACCCTCCCCACCAAAAAGTGGACTTGATTCTTGAAGTTGCTTATTTGAGATTTTTGGTGAAATGAAAGTAAATTCCACTAAAATGTCAGAGTCAAGAAGTGGGGAGTGGGGAGAGTCAGGTCTGTTCTGTTTCCTGATATATTCTCCATACACAATATGGGCCTCCTCACCTTGTAAATGTTTTCAAACACATACTGGTTGAATGAAAGAATGAAATGGAGATTGATATTTATTACTCATAACTTGATTTCGTGGCATGTAACATTTAATCCAATAGACGAACACAGTACTAAAGGTTATAAAACAGAGACAAAAATATATTGGATATGCATTAAGACTGGCAATATATTGCTAGGCGGTGGTGGCGCACGCCTTTAATCCCAGCACTCAGGAGACAGAGACAGGTGGATCTCTGTGAGTTCGAGGCCAGCCTGGTCTACAGAGCAAGTTCCAGGACAGGTTCCAAATCTACAGAGAAACCTTGTCTTGAAAAACAAACAAACAAACAAACAAAAAAGGTCAAAATTCCACTTAGAAAGTTATTTCATATGAATTAACACCTGTTCCTATAAATAACTCCAACAAAGTCATCAAAACACGGAAACACAGAAGATGCAGATGCTGATGCTGTACCTGGTACTTGTTATCAGTTGTGCCCTTGACTCTCAGGATTGTTGCATGTGCTTAGAGCGCCCCCCATAGGAGGAAACACCTCGGACACAAACCAGGAAGGAGGGACCTATTTTTTGTTGTGGGGTATTTTGATCTCTTGCTGACACTCCCAAGACTGCCAATAAAGTTAAAATGTTGAATCAGAGGGCAGAGTTAACATTCAGCTGGCTAGAATTTTTGGCAGACCCAGATTAGTACAGAAAGACATAGGAAGGAATAGGGAGGGGTTTAGAAAGATTTGCAGGCCTTTTCTGGGAGTGTAGAGAGGCAGAGTCAGCTGATTGTTCCTCCCTGGCTCTTTGGATCTATCAGGTTCCTACCTCAATATCTGACCCCCAAGTTTTATTTAATAATAGAACAATATAAGTAACCACTTCAGTTTTTGTTTGTTGTTGCTGTTGTTTTGACACAGGGTTTCTCTATACAGCCTTGGCTGTCCTGGAACTCCCTTTGTAGACCAGGCTGGCCTTGGACTCACAGAGATCTGCCTGCCTCTGCCTCTGAGTGCTGGGACTAAAGGCGTGCGCCACCACAAGCTTAAATCTCTTAACCCTTTCTATCGCATCTGTCCACTACAAACAGATCTCTGTAGAATATACAGTTACACAAAACAATGTTCCCAGTTGCCAAAGCCCACTGCAAACATCCTTGCTGTTCCTTCCTTATTCCTTGCTGTCAGCTGATCTCTGAACACACCTAATAAGAGCCTGCCCTGCGCCCTGGAGAATCTCTTCTCTGGGCAGAGGTCCAACTTTCTGTGCTCTTGAACTCGGGTGTCTGCTCAGCCCACTCTACCCTCTTCTGAGCCAGCACTTTGGGAGTTGAAGGAATGCCAAGGCGGTGAAAAGACTGGACATAGACTGTGCAAGAGGGGGTTCTCCTGAGCCCCTTAGACTGGAGAGAGCCTTCAGGGAGCAAAGGAGCCGAGAACTGGCTGCCAGGTGAAGTTGTGCCGTGTGTGGGGTGAGGTAGGGCAATGTGCAGGCTCCCAGTTATAGGCTTTTAGGATCCAGGGCTACTTACAGGTCTGTCTGAGACTCGGAAGGCAGGGCTGTTTTGGTGGTCTGTTTTTTTGTTCTATAATCTCGAAAAGATGCATTTCTTCCTTTCTTTCAAAAATGTGTTTATTTATATACTTAATGTATTTTAGTGTGTTTTCTGTATGTATGCCTGACAGCTGTGGAGACCAGAGGAGAGCCTCCCATCATCCCCTGAGACTGGATTAACAGGCAATATGGGGTACCATGTAGGTCCTGGGAAATGAACCTGAGTCTGTTTTGTTTGTTTGTTTGTTTGGTTTGGTTCGGTTTTTGCAGACAGGGTTTCCCTGTGTAGCCCTAGCTGTCCTGGAACTCACTCTGTAGACCAGGCTAGGCTCAAACTCACAGAGATCGGCCTGCCTCTGCCTCCTGAGTGCTGGGATTAAAGGCGTGTGCCACCACCACCTGGCGAACCTGGGTTCTCTTGACTAACTATTCTTTAGTCTCTCTGCTGGCTGGCTTCTTTGCGGATACCAGTTGAGCAGTTTACATGGGTTGCAGAGATATAGTTTGGGTAAGGGCCTTACAGAGTCTGCCCGTGAGAGGTGAGCTCCATTGGTCTTCCCAGTCTTGACAGTAATTTTGACCTTTGTTGAAGATGAGGATTAGGCTGATCTAGGGAAAAGGATGCAACCCTCCTCCATGCATCCCTCCCACTCAGTTTCCTCCACACCCCTTCCCACTTCAGAGGCTCCTAGTCCTGACTCTACTATGGTCTTCCTGTCAAGGGCTCATAAGAACTTTCTCCTTTTTTTGGCGGGGGTGGGGGTGGGGGAAACTGGATCTCAAGTAGCCCAGGCTGTTCATTTTCTCCTCTGAATAAAACATTTTATGCCCATAAAAATCCCAGCAAAATTCTTCAAAGACCTTGAAAGAACAGTACTCAACTTCATTTGGAAAAGCAAAAAACCCAGGATAGCCAAAACAATCCTGGGCAATAAAAGAACTTCAGGAGGCATCACAATCCCTGACTCCAAACTCTACGACAGAGCTACAGTACTGAAAACAGCCTGGTATTGGCATAAGAACAGACAGGAGGACCAATGGAACCGAATAGAAGACCCAGATATCAATCCACACATTTTCAAACACCTGATCTTTGATAAAGAAGCAAAAAATATCAAATGGAAAAAAGAAAACATATATAACAAGTGGTGCTGGCATAACTGGATATCAACATGTACAAAAATGAAAATAGACCCGTATCTATCAACATGCACAAAACTCAAGTCCAAATGGATCAAAGACCTCAACATAAAGCCAGCCACATTGAACCTTATAGAAGAGGAAGTACACTTGAACGCATTGGCACAGAGAACCACTTCTTAAATAGAGCCCTAGCAGCACAGACACTGAGAGAAACAATTAATAAATGGGACCTCCCGAAACTGAAAAGCTTCTGTAAAGTAAAGGACATGGTCAACAAGACAAAACGACAGCCTACAGAATGGGAAAAGATCTTTACTAACCCCGCATCAGACAGAGGTCTGACCTCCAAAATATACAAAGAACTCAAGAAGTTGGACACCAAAAAATCACATAATTCAATAAAAAAAAATGGAGTACAGACCTAAACAGAGAACTCTCAGCAGAAGAATCTAAAAATGGCTGAAAGACACTTAAGGAAATGTTCAACATCCTTAGTCATCAGAGAAATGCAAATCAAAACAACTCTGAGATTCCATCTTACACCTGTAAGAATGGCCAAGATCAAAAACATTGATGACAACTTATACTGGAGAGGATGTGGGGTAAAGGGAACACTTCTGCATTGCTGGTGGGAATGCAAGCTGGTACAACCCTTTTGGATGTCAGTGTGGTGATTTCTCAGAAAATTAGTAAACAACCTTCCTCAAGACCCAATAATACCACTTTTGGGTATATATCCAAAGGATGCTCAGTCGTGCCACAAGGACATGTGCTCAACTATGTTCATAGCAGCTTTGTTTGTCATAGGCAGAACCTGGAAACAACCTAAATGCCCCTCTACTGAATAATGGATTTTAAAAAATGTGGTACATTTACACAATGAAGTACTACACAGCAGAAAAAAACTAACATCTTGAATTTTGCAGGAAAATGATAGAACTAGAAAATATTATTTTGAGTGAGGTAACCCAGACACAGAAAGACAATCATCACATGTACTTGCTCATAGGTGGTTTTTAAACATAAAGCAAAGAAAGCCAGCCTACAAACCACAATCCCAGAGAACCTAGACAACAATATGGACACTAAGAGAGATTTCCATAGATCTATCTAATCTACATGGAAAGTAGAAAGTAGAAAAAGACAAGATCTCCTGAGTAAATTGGGAGCATGGGGACCTTGGGGGAGGATCCAAAGAGGGAGGGGAGAGGCAGGGAAGGGAGCAGAGAAAAATGTAGAGCTCAATAAATACCATGGAAAAAAATAAAAAATAAATAACAACAACAACAAAACATTTTAAAGTGATTGGTGAGGGCCCTCAGAATCTGCCACTGGGTCCACAGAAATGGTTTCCTCACTGGTGTAGTGCACAGCCCACTGACTGCCTGCTGGAAACTCTTCCTTGATTTCTACTGTGCTTGCCGTGAAGTCTGCTTTGTCCTTGTTGATCCTCTGGGACAAGGTGTCTTCCCTCATCTCTGGGCACCCTCCCTCTGTTCCCATCATGCTCCACGGGTGGAACCTGAGAATACTGTTTCCCCTCTACCTAGAGCACATTGCCTCCCCTGCCCCTT